CGGATCGCTAACGGCATCAGCGAAGGCTCCGTCGCAGTGCTGCTTCAAGGATGGCGACGTCATTCAGCTGCAGTCGGACACGGGTACGTATCTCGGTCGCTGCAACGGCTGCGTTCCGCGTGCAGCTTACTCCGACTCGGCCTTTACACACGTCTCGGATCCGTGGGCGGCGGACGCCGGGTACGCTCGGTGGACGGTCAAGAACGTCGGCAACGGCAAAATTACACTACAGGCCGACTCAGGAAAATATCTCGCGCGCTGCAATGGGTGCGCGCCCACGGCAGTATACCCGGACCAAGCGTTCGTGCACAGCACCGACCCATCGACGCCGTGGACGCAGTGGAAGTGCGTCGACGCGAGCAACGGCAAGATCGGGCTCCAGAGCGACACGGAGCGATTCCTTGCCCGATGCAATGGGTGCGTCGGCGGCGCCGGCTACCCAGATTCCGCTTTTGTCCATGTAAAGAGCTGGTCGGACGGCGCGTACGCGCAGTGGACCGTGTACAAAGCCAAGGACACACCGCAGGCGAGTCAGTGCCCGCTGCCAGCTTCTGTCTTTAGCTGGCAGTCGCTGCCCGGCGACTGGAAATGCCTCACATCTTACAACGGCAACGTTTTTGGTGTCGACACGGAGAACCGAACCGCTTGTTCACGCGCACGCTGAGTGCGACCGCCAATGTTTGAGCTGTCCGAGTTGGATCGTAAAATATCAATATATCAATGTCGATCCCAAGAAAGGCCTGTGTCAAAGCACAGAACACTTGATAGCGCCGCGGCGTCTACAAGACAGTTCAATGAGCACAGCGGCAACAGAAGAGCATCGAGAGCTCACCCGTAATTATCGTGTAGCATTGTGTTCAGCGGAAAGCGTCGGAATCGGTGTAACCCTTCGACATTCGACCTCTGTATTGTGAACGGTGGGGTCCCGTTGACTGTAGTTGGTGAATAGCTGTAGAGAGATCATGGGTTGCAACATGTACAATTGTGGTGCACCGCAGCGATGGTAGGAGCGGAGCAGCTTGATGCAAATCCAAGGACAAAGTATGGGATTTCGCGACCTGACTCTTATAACATCAGCTTGCCCCTTGCGGAAACACTTCACGAAGAGCGCGTCGGTATTATGTGTATATTGATTTCTCGGACGCCGCTGGGTGCAACAATACCATTGATGCACGCCCGTTTGCAATTAGCATGACAACAACTCACAAGTTTTGCGTTGTTGTCCAGACTGGTTTTGTGACTAATGACACTCACAGATTTAACTGTGTTTAGTCCTTCCTTCTTGCTCACGCAACGCGACTACCACAACTCAGCTCGAAACTCAACTGTCATTCGCTGCGCAGCGTGGATGAGTGCACGCTGTCTGCCCCATTTACCAACATGTGAGCTATCACGACGGCGTGTACTCAACATTCCAATACCATCGTCTGATTGGTCGAAATATTTATGAAAATAGTTGTAGCCAATCAAAGCGCGCAGTTCGGCGGGCAGTACATTGGTTAGTCACTGGCGCTGTTGACACCGGAGCATCAACACATCACCTAGCCCGGTTCTATCCACGAGTGTATCTTCTAAAGTTTTGACAAAACCCGTATTGCACACGAAGATGGCGTGCGTCGACACGTACTCGCCGACCAACGTTGGGGTGGGTATGACAGGCTCAAACGCTCATTTCCCAAATTGCCAGCGCCAAGGATGACTCAGCCCGGCAAATGATCTTCTCGCCCAGGGCACGGCCGCCTACCACAACAAGATCAAAGCCGCGGTCGGCGATGTCTTGCCGCCGCTCGAGATCCGCTTCACGGACCTCGCGCTCTCGGCCGACGTTCCGCTCATGACGCGCCAAGAGCTGCCAACGCTCGTGAGCGACGTCACCTCGATGGTGCGTGGCCTCTGCCAGCCGTCGCGGACCGTGCGCAAAGACATTCTGCACCCGATGACGGGTGCGCTCATGCCGGGGACCATGACGCTCGTGCTCGGCCAGCCGCGGTCGGGCAAGTCGTCGTTCCTCAAGCTATTGAGCGGCCAGGTGAACGCCACCAAGAGCCTTCGCATTGACGGGCAGCTGACGTACAATGGTGTCTCGGACATGCCACACTTGGCGCGCTGGACGTCGTACGTGGCGCAGCGCGACGTGCACTACCCGACGCTCACGGTGCGCGAGACGCTCTCGTTTGCTTCGCGCTGCGTCACGAGTCGCGAGCAGCTGTCGGCGGTGCCTCCGCACGCGACACCGCTCTTGGCGTCCATCGAAGCGGCGGCGCCAGACCTCGTGGAGCGCCAGTTGGGCCTCGACCACTGCAAGGACACGGTCGTCGGCAACAGTATGCTTCGCGGCGTCTCGGGCGGCGAGCGCAAGCGCGTGACCATGGGCGAGATGGAGTTTGGCTTCAAGCGCGCGGCGTTCCTCGACGAGATCAGCACCGGCCTCGACGCGGCTGCCACGTTTGATATCGTGTCGGCCCAGAAAAGCCTTGCGAGCTCGCTTCAAAAGACGGTGGTGATCGCGCTTCTCCAGCCGGCGCAAGACGTTTACAATCTCTTTGACAATATTCTGCTCTTGCACGACGGCTACACCTTGTACCACGGGCCGCGCGACGCGTGCATGCCCTACTTTGAGGCGCTGGGCTATCACTGCCCGCCGCACCGCGACGTACCCGACTTCCTCGTCGACATTGGCTCGCCCGACCTGCTCGGTCCGTCCATGAGTGCTCAAGAGCTCGCCACCGCGTTTCGGAGCTCGTCGATCCATGCAGCCATGCTAGCGCGTATGCAGCAGACGTCGCTGCCGCCGCTTTCGCCCATTGCGCCCTTTGCCGAGCCATTTGTCGCCAGCACGATGTTGATTGCGTCGCGCCAGCTGCGCGTTTACCTCCGCAACGCCGAGCTCGTCCAAGGTCGTCTCGGCTTGGTGCTCATCATGGGACTCTTGTACGCGACGACGTTCTACGACGTCGATCCGTCGCAGGTGACGACGGTCCTCGGTGTCATCTTCATGGCGGTGCTCTTCCTCGCCGTCGGGCAGGTGCCGACGCTACCGATTATCCTCGACGCCCGGGCCGTCTTTTACAAGCAGCGCGCGTCGCAGTTCCACCGGACGTCCTCGTACGTGATTGCGCATGCGGCGACGCAGATCCCGTTTGCTTTGGCCGAGACAGTGGTCTTTGGTTCGATCCTGTATTGGATCACGGGCTTCGCCGCCGACGCGACGTCGTTTCTGACGTACTTGCTCGTGCTCTTCTTGACCAACCTCGTCTTCTCAACGTGGTTCTTCGTCGTTGGCGTCGCGTCGCCCAACATGCTCGTGGCCGACCCCGTCGCGCTCCTCTGCGTTCTCATCTTTGTCGTCTTCGCGGGCTTTATCATCTCGGCCAAGGACATTCCCGACTACCTCATTTGGCTCTACTGGATCGACCCGCTCGCATGGTCTCTTCGCGCGCTCACAATCAATCAGTACACGGCATCCGATTTCAACGACTGCGCGTTCGGCGGCATCGACTACTGCGCGACGACCGGCAGCACCTCGGCGGGCACGGCGCTCCTCGAGCAGTACGGTCTTCGCACCGACCGGTCGTGGATCTGGTATGGCGTCTTGTATCTCGCGGGCTGCTACGTCGCCTTTCTCTTCTTGGCGTATCTCATTCTCGAGTACGTTCGCTTTGACGACACGGATCACAGCCACGTGGTCGGAACCAGCTCTATTGACGGGTGCTCTTCCACAGATGACGACGACAGCGCGTATCTCGCGGTGCCCAAGACACCTGCTGTGGCTATATCGGTGGCCCCCCGCGAGGTCGTGCCCGTGACGTTGACGTTTGAAAACTTGAGCTACACAGTGCCCAATCCGACGAAGGGCGAGCCCGACTTGCAGCTCCTCAAGTCTATCAGCGGCTATGCGCTACCGGGTACGGTCACTGCGCTCATGGGGGCGTCCGGTGCCGGCAAGACCACCTTGATGGACGTCATCGCCGGGCGCAAGACGAGCGGCAAGATCGATGGCGAGATCAAGCTCAACGGCCACATCGCGACGGACCTTGCGATTCGTCGGTCGACGGGCTACTGCGAGCAGATGGACGTGCACTCCGAGTCGGCAACTTTCCGCGAGGCGCTCCAGTTTAGCTCCATGCTGCGGCAATCGGACGACATTACCGCTGCCGACAAGCTCGCGTTCGCGGAAGAGTGTTTGTCGCTCCTTGGGCTCGACACGATCGGCGACAAGATCATCCGCGGGTCGTCCGTCGAGCAGATGAAGCGTCTGACGATTGGCGTCGAGCTTGCGGCCGCACCGTCCGTGCTATTTCTCGATGAGCCGACGTCGGGCCTTGATGCGCGCTCAGCCAAGATCGTCATGGCCGGCATCCGCAAGATCGCATCGACGGGTCGCACGGTCGTCTGCACGATCCACCAGCCGTCGGCCGAGGTCTTTGAGATGTTTGACTCGCTTCTTCTCCTCAAGCGCGGCGGCGAGACCGTCTTCTTTGGCGACCTCGGCGCCAAGGCCGTCCATTTGATCAGCTACTTTGCATCGCTCCCGGGCACGCCACCGATCGCAGTCAGTATGAACCCTGCCGCATGGATGCTCGACGTGATTGGCGCCGGCGTCGAAGCGCGGTCGCAAGCGCTTGACTTTGTGAAGGCGTTTGCATCCTCGGCGGAGCGTCAAGCTCTCGTGGACGGTCTTGCGGTCTACGCTGCGCCGCACCCCGAGCTTGAGGCGCTCACGTTTGGCTCCAAGCGCGCCGCTGCCTTCAACACACAGTTGAGTCTGCTGCTGCGGCGCTTTGTTCGTCTCCACTGGCGCACGCCGTCGTACAACAACACGCGCGGCCTCATCTCGATCGCACTCGCCGTCTTCTTTGGCCTCTTGTACAACCGCGTGGACTTTACCACCTTCTCGGGCGCGACCGGCGGCCTCGGCATGATCTACCTCTCGTCCGTCTTCATCAGCCTCGTCTCATTCTTCCCCGTCATGGTGCTCATGGTCGACGACCGCGGCGCGTTCTACCGTGAGCGCGCGTCACAGACGTATTCGGCGCTGGCCTATTTTGTCGCGTCGACGCTGGCCGAGCTCCCGCACGTCTTTGGCTCGACCTTTGCCTTCGCCATCATCTTTTACCCGTTCGTGGGTCTCAGTGAGTCGGTCGGCGCGTGCTTGTACTACGGCTTCAACCTCTCGCTCATGGTGCTCTTCCACGTCTACTTTGGCCAGCTGCTTGCCTATGTGCTGCCAGACGTGGACATCGCTGGCCTCGTCGGCTTCCTCTTCAACTCGATCTTTATGCTCTTTATGGGCTTTGCACCGCCAGCGGCGCAGATCCCGAGCGGCTACCGCTGGCTCTACCACGGTGTGCCACCGAAATTCAGCATGGCCATTTTGGCTGCCGAGACGTTTGCCAAGTGCACGGAGTCGACGCAGCTCGGCTGCAAGACGCTCTCGCACGTGCCGCCGAGTGTCCTCCAAGCGATGGGCAACGTCTCGAGTATCACGCTCCAGGACTACGTCGAGGGCATGTACGAGATGAAGTACGACGACGCCAGCACCAACACGCTCGCAACGCTCGGCTGGATCGCCGGTGTCTTGGTCCTGAATGCCATCGCACTTCGCTTCGCCAACCACCAGAAGAAATAGAGGAAGACTTGTCACATCTAACTTTGTGAGTTGTGGAGTTGATGGCAGTGGGAGCTTGGTATGCGTGGTCCACCCCGTACAAGAGACGCAAAAGCAACATGAGTCCCATGTACGAGACCAACGAACCCACAGAAAATATTGCTGAAAATCAAGGACGACCCATGTATAACGGCATGGCATAGATGCTAAAGTGACTCGTACCATGTCTCGAGGTGCCGCTAGCATCGCCGTGCTGAGTCCCATATCAAAACAATGCATATGGAAACATACCAACACAATGTCGAGCATGTGGCCGCACGCGTGGAGGCGCTCTTCGATGAGCGATGCCTCGGCGTCGTCATCGTCGTCGTCGATGCCGTCGTGCGGCCGCCAGAGACCGACGAGGCTCTCGCGCGTCATCGGGTTGAGCTGCATAGCCGAGAGCACGGCCTTCTGGACGAGCCACGCGTGCTTCTGTTGCTTGGCGAGCGATGTTAAGTACGCCTTGGACGCGCAGTGGCGCAGCGAGAGGTCGCGGTCCTTCTCCATCTCCAGGCAGAGGTTCTTGACGTACGCGAGGACGGGGACGATGCGCAGCACCGTGCTATTCTTTTGTCAACGACACTCGGACTTGTTGCCACAACCAACTACCTCGTGACGTCGTCGCGACCGTCCGTGTCGGGGGCTTCGGCGCCCATGAGCGCCTGCAGCGTCACGTCCGCGTCCTTGGCCGTGTTCCGCCACGCGATGTCCAAACGAGCGAGCTCGGGGGTGAGCGACTTCAGCGCAAACGCGCCCGTGGGGCCCAAAAGATGCAGGAGACCCGCGGTCTCTCGGCACATGGCCAAGAAATCTTGCAGCGGCATGTGCTAGCGGGATACACCATGCGTATGGCTTCGTGCGATACAAGACACATGGATACCTCGGCGTTGTCGACGAGGACTTCCAAGGCCGTCGACCAAACGCTGAGCGAGCATGCTGTCGAGGTTGATGCGCGCATCGCGTCTGCTTCGTCGTCGTCGTCTTCAGTTGGAAACATGTGGTTCGCAGCGAGCTCGCGTTGCATCTACAGAGCCGATGTGGAGTCGTGTCGATCCAAATGGAGGCGTACGCGTGGCGAGAGAGGGGGCTTGGGCGACCCCATGGAGCTCGCGGGAGGCGCGGGTGGCGACGTCAAGTGCGCTTGCTGCAGCACATACGTGAGCAGCGAGAGTGGCAGCGCCAGCAGGAGGACGGTCCCGCCGATGCCGCTGACAACGAGGGTTGTAAACGTCTCGCTCTCTTCGTCGCGGGCCCAGAGACACGTGGCGATGGCCTGCGCGACCACCTACAACACCATGAGTCGAGCGCAGTTGACTCGGGTGTACGAGAAGCACGCAGGTCATGCCAACGCGCGCGACAACGTCGTGGAGCTTGGCGGGCGCCAGCGAATTGTGCCAACGCGCTTCGTGATGGCGTCTTCCGTCGCTCGATGGCGGCTCCATGGGCGCGCAGTCGACCTCGGTCACAACCGCCAGCGACTTGCGCCGCTGAAAGGATCCGCGCTGGAGCTCCGACGGTGTCCACGGCTCGCTGTCCAGGAGCACGTCTTTTCCAAAGAGCTGCAGCACCTCGCAGCGGTAGGCTTCCTCGTCCACCTCGAACGGATTGCCGGTGAGCGTGAGGTACTGCAGCAGCGGCAGCGCTGCGAGTGGCGCCACGTCCGAAAGCGACGGGATCGCGTTGTGGCCGAGGTCGAGTGTCTAGTCCTTTGTCGTTACGCACGTTGTGTTGGACAATGTGTCTATGTACCTGTAGACCGTACATCTTGGCGATGCCCTTGACGCTCGCCAGCGCGTTCGTATGGAGCACGAGCGACGTGACGTTCGCAAGGCTCCGGTGCGCACCGTCCAAATGCAGAAGCGCGTTGCCACTGACGTTGACATGCGACAGCTGCGGACAGTTCTCCAAGTGCGACAGCGACGTCAGCATATTCGAGGACAAGTTGATCTGCGTGAGCGACGGTGCGAGGGCGAGCGCCGCGTCGAGCTTGGTGAGGCCGCAGTCGATGAGTCCGAGCGATGTTAGCGACGACCAGATCGGGCTGCCGGCGTCCGTCGCCTCGTACGGCTCGATGCTTCCGAGGACGTCCGCGACAGAGCGTAGCGGGATGTGCAGTAGCGTCAGTTCGAGGAGCTGCTTCTTGAAGCTCCATAGACCCTGGATCAAGTCGAGGGGCATGCTGTCGAGGCGAAGGTACAGAAGGGACGAGAAGAGGCCGAGGTTGCACTGCGACGGCAGGCAGAGCGAGTCGGGTAGCGTCTGGATATGGAGGTCGACGATGTGGAGCACGAAACCGGCGAGCTTGAGCATCCGCTGCGTCTTGGACATTCCGCGCGGCGCGTCGTCGGTCGTGACCTCCGGCGCGTCTTTCTTCGTCTCCCACTGCAGGACGCAGGTCGCATCGGGACCGTAGAGCGGGAGGAGCATCGCGTAGAAGCAGTGCTCGAGGTAGTGCAGACACGGGGGGTTGAGGACGACCTGAAGCCGCGGGTTGCGCTGGCGGAGTGACTTGCGGTGCTCCTTGAGGAACGCATAGAAGCTTTGGAGGAACGCCTTGCCCGGCATGAGCAGCGCCTCCGTGGACGACGCATCGCCGGCCTCCGGGTCGGCGTGGCGCGGCGACCGAAGCGGCGCCACGGCGGCCATGGGCGACGTCTCGGGCGACGACCCGTCGCTGCTGTCGTCGTCGCCGTTGCTGCTCGAGTTGCTGCTCGCGTACGAGTCGCCCCGCGCCATGGAGACGGTACTGCGCGAGCGTAGCTTCATCTCGGCGAGCACGCTCGTCGCGACCTTCATGGACATGTGCTGCGTGAGGTGCTCGATCTGGTCCGACGGGCTGCGGCGCGGGACCGGCGACGGACTCCGCGGCTGCTCCATGTCTCTCCGGAAATGGCACCGCAAAGCTCGAATCTATTTTTTACGCGCGGTTTTATGCTAGCTGGCAATTTGTATGCGAAATAAAAAAAGTTGGCCGACTGACCCAATAGGATCGCTACTCTTGGTGTTTGTATACCGAGGACCGCGGCTGCCACGACAGGCGCGGTCCTTCGACTGCGTCAACCCATTATACTTATAGCATATTATATCTATTTGTTATATCTACTTAAGGTATTTCCACTGGTCGAGGGTTCGAGACTGCGCATCGCGCAACCCATTGCCAACGAAGAGCTACCGTATTCTCGTCGAACGAGCCACTTTGCGAGCGACGACTCGATCTTGTCGCTCCATCATAAAAAGCAGATGCCGGTGAGCTAGCAAGTGTAGTGAATGCTTCGGATTGCATCAAGTCGACACCCAGAGCTCTTCTACTGGTACTCGAGATAACGAGATGTTCTGGTTCTCATTGGGATGGATCTGGCTTTGAAACGGCGTGGCTAAACAAACGTCTTGAGGAAGTCCTCGTATCTGCACTGTACTGTACGCACGCTGGTGCAGCCCTATCTTGTCCCATACTGCGGAGGACTCCAACAACTATTGGGTTGGAAGGCGCGTGGGAAAGGCTGTCGCTGGACGAGAGCTCGCATGTACCGTACCACGCACGGTGTTTGCATACGCCTCGGACGAATTCGCCAGGTGGTTCATGCGATGATAATTGCACGTCATCCAGTATGAAGAGGGTTCATACGAGCCCATTCGAGAACGAACCTCATTCTCATTTGTGATGTCAACGTCGAAAATCAAACGACGAATGGCGCGTGCAAATCCGCATAATCTGCCGTATATTTACCGTAAATATCCACTACAGTGGACCCCAAATGATATTCTGTTTCTCATTTCGGACATTTCGTGCGGAATTCGGACAAAATAGGTTTTCCAGCAATACACTGTTTCACGTCGAAGCGATTTCATTTCGGATCGATCCGAGTGCAACCTCGGCCTCAAGCTCCAAGTGCCACGAGGCAACAAAGGCCAGCGCTTGCATGTCGCCGCTAATAGCGTCCTTGTGCTAGCCCACGAGAGCTTGCATGGGTCACGCTGGCAGTACCCAGCACTGCTTCCTAAAATACGACCGCAGTACTTAGATACTCCCAACGACCAAGTGCTGGTTGCAACTCCCACGCATTCAGGCGTAGCACTACGTATGCGAACTCTTTTTAAGGAAGATAACGCGGAACACGTTGATATATATAGTACTTAGCGACTAGGGTCATGCTTTCGCGACGCCAACTATCTCGATGCGTTCGAGGAAGAGGACTTTTGAAGAGAATGCACCATAAATGGCAGCACATTACGAGGTGCGCTGGCGCTGGCGTCGACGAGATAGGCGCTTCGTTTCCGCGGGTGGCGGCTGCAAGCCATGTTCGTGCTCGAGGTACGCGAGCACGTCGTTGCAGAGGTTGGCGCACGCAGCCATGAGCACCTTGCGCATGTAGAACGGCGCTGTCGGCTGCGTGACGAGCCAGCGCAGAATGTCGAGCTGGCTGCTCGCAGCGGCTTGGCACATGGCGTCTTCGAGCGTCACCTCGAGTCGATGTGCGAGAAGAAACTGGACGAGCGCGAGGTTACCGCTGTCGACGGCGGCGCGGATCGTCGCCGCGTTGAAGCCGTTAAAGTCCATTTCGTGAAAGTGTCGGATCAAGTCCAAGTGCCCATGGCGCGCGGCGACGTTGAGGTGCTGATACGACCAGCCGATGAAGCCTGCGCGCTGCGCAAATTCGGCGACCGCGACGTGGCCATGGCGACACGTCTCGATCCAGACGCTGCGCATGTTGCACTGAATCTCGAGCGAGATGGCGAGGATCTCGACGTGGTTGCGTATCGCCGCTTGGGTCACGACCTGTGGGTGCGCATAGAGCGTCGAGGATCCGACCGTCCTGAAGTAGTAGCGCGAGTCGATGTCCGGGCAAAAGTACGCATCGAGGAGCCGCAAGTCCCAGCCAAACGGGGCGCGTCCCCACGCAAGATTATGGGTCGTATGGAACCAGCGCAGCACGTCCATGTTGGCATAGTCGAGGGCGTATACGAAGAGGTGCACTTGGCAGAGCTTGAGCAGCTGCGACGTGCCGTAGCGGGCAAACCATGGCTGGAAGCGGGCGTGGTAGGCCTCGTACGGGGCACGTTCGACGTGCACCGAGCAGCCGCGGCAGGCTCTCTTGAGCTCGAACGTCGCCTGCAGGAGGCCATCGCGGAAGCTCGCAATGAGGGCGACGAGGTCTTCCGACCCCAGGACGTGCATCGCGGTCATGGACCTTCTCTTCAAGTGCGCAGATTCGATACTGAGATGTTCAAAACAAGAACTGAGATGGAAACAGGTGTTTAAAACAGTTTGAATCCATGGTTTAAAAGCTAATGTGCACGATGGCTTCGGGCTCGATGCGCCACTTGGTATACTACAATATCGAGCCTCAGCGTCGAATTGTATACATATTGGCTTTGCACCTGAGCGAGGAGGTCGAGGAAGCCTTGCGACGGCAGCGGAATGCGCGGGTTCGAGTGGCCACTGGGCACCCCCGCGCGCTCTTTCTTGTCGAGTTCGCCAATGTAAAACTGCTTCAAGTACCTAGCATTTGGTGGCTCACAAGTCCACGCCAGACGATATATGGATACCGGAAGGCGGCCTTGGACGCGTGGTAGATCTCAAACATGCCCACACAGTCGATGTTGAGCGCCTCGGCTGGAATAAGGTGCGAGCCGCCTACCATGGCGTCGTACTCGTCGTTGGATATGGACAAGAGACAGCCATACCAGGGTGCTCGGGGAGCCAGCGCGTGATATCGAGCACCATGCCGTCCATAATGAGCCACGTGTCGTTGCCAGCGTTCTTCTCGACGACCAGCGAATACGGAATCGCTTGCTTGCGAACGCGCGACGAGAACTCGCCCTGGCGCATCCGGCAGAGGTCCTCGAGGCCCTACACAACACACACGTGGTTGACAAGCTAGACGAGGTAGTACTTTGAAGTAGTACTTGGCAGCCGATCGAGATGGCAGCTTGAAGGAGGCTGTCGGTGACGTTTGGATCAAACTGGAACGGCTCGTCCGGATACAAGACAGAGTGCTCGAGGTAGAGGAGGACGCGATCGAACGTGCAGCAGTCGACGTCGACGTGGATGACGCTCTCTTTGTCCTTATGGACGCCAAAGCCGGCCATGACGGCCGACGTGAGCTTGATGCACGGCCAGAGCAGCTTCTTCTTGACGGGAAACATCTCGTCGTCCGAGGTCCAGACGTCCACGACCTCGCCTTTGGCCGTGATGGGCGCCACATGCGACGTGCGGACATCGTTGATAAGGGCGTAGCTGTCATCGGCCGGATTTTCCTTCGCCAGCAGCACGTTCGTGACCGTCGAGACCTTGGCGCGGAAGACGTTGGGCATGCTGAACTCGGTCTCGTCCGGATCGTCTGCGTCCATGTCGAGGACGCGGAGAAAGTAGCTCGCGTTTTTGTCGCCCAGCATAAGCACGACGCGCTCGTTCTCGGTCACGATCTTGCCGGCGCCGGCGCTAAGGAAGGCGTCAATCACGGCAGCGACGTCAATGGTCTCGGGCGACGACGCCTTGTACAGCGGTCGAATCTCGAGCGAAATCGAGGCCGCAACCGGGTCTTTCGACGCATTGTACCAGCGCCATGTGTCGATTTGGTCGTCGCAGAGCTCGAAGTTGATGAGCTGCTCGTCGCTGCACCAGATCGCATCGGTCGGTACGTCGGCGAGGAAGCGCGCCTGCGCCACGAACTGCGCGTGCGTGCGCGGGTGCACGAAGAGCACGTCGTTGGCCTCGGCCGGCGCGTGGCTCGGATGCAAGTACACGGCGAACGGCGTGTCATGGCGGTAGAGCTGCGCGCGGAACGTCTGCGACGGTGCCGGCGCGCCTTGGCTCTTGAGGAAGGCGGCGTGCGATGGCAGGCGCAGCTCGCCCGCCTGGTTGTTGTTGGCAGCCCACGGCATGGAAATGTGCCACGGTATCCGGATTTTCGGATACAGAGGCGGTCAATGGCGCGCCGGTTGAAGTGGCCACGATCCGCGACGGATGCGACGAGGCGATGCAACCACAGTAGACGTCGTCGGCGGTGTATTATCAACTTCGCGAGGCGCCGTCGACAGCAGTTGCAGTCACCTTGCATGCGTGGTGAGCGACGTGGTATCCAGCTCCGAGGGTTAAGGCAATATTGAAAAGACAACTTGTACCCCGAGGTCCCGCCTTTCTCTCCTCGTATGTGCATGTAGTGTGAGACTCCAGTGCTCGTAGAATAAAGCGCGGGTACACTGATGTATTGCTCTTCAGACAGCCATATGTCCATGGTCACCACGGCGTAAGAGCGCGCCAAGGTCTGCGGCTGTTGGGCGACTCTGAGGGTTTGCCTCCACACAGCGCAGCGCCAGATCTCGAAGCCACGCTGGACACGCCGCCGAGAAGACCGGGCGAAGAGAGCCTTGCAGCACGCGCGTTACGATCATCGCGTCGACCAGCGGCGCCCCCGTGCTCGGATCTCGTTCGAGTGCATACGGGATGTTGTGGGCGTCCATCTCGGCGATGACCATGCCTAGTACGCTGCATATGAGCTCTGCTTTGTTGCCAGCAAATCACTGTACCGAACGAGTAAATGTCAGCGGCGACGCTGTAGCGACCGCCCCGAAGTACTTCGGGCGCCGTCCAGCGGCACGTGCCGACCCCCGCGGTCATCGTCTCGGGCGCTTCCTACTGCACGTCAGCGAAATGATCTAGTAGCTCGGTGATACCACTCGCGCTTCGCCAAAGTCCATGAGCTTGGTGCCTTTGACTGTGTCGAGAAGGATGTTTTGGACTTGAGGTCGCGGTGGAGGATGCTGCGAGCATGCAAGTACGCCAGCGCTGCCGCGACGCTCGTCAGCGACGCGACCTTGAGCGGCCACGGAAACGAGATCGGATTCGTCTTTTGCAGAAACTCGCGCAGGTCTGTCTGGTCCATGTACTCGACCACGAGCCGCAGGTCACCGTCCGGCGACCACGTGACACCGAGGCACGAGACAATGTGCGGGGACGCCAGCGACGTCATGAGCTGGATCTCGCGCGCAAAGGCGGCTTGGGCCGCGGACGAGTGCACATTGCGGAGCGTCTTGATCGCGACGGGTGCGTTCTCGTAGTGGCCGAGCCAGACGTGGCCGTGACCGCCCGTCGAGAGCACGTGGCTGTACGTGATGGCGTCCATCGGGAGCTGCCACGGCATGAGTGCCGTCATGACGTGGCACGTGTCAGTGACTTGGACGTACGGGATGCCGGGCATCGTGACGTTGGTCGGACACGAGGGTGCGGGGAGGTTGTCGAGTGACGAAGCGTTCGTCGTCTTTGTTGGTGTCGGTGCCGCTTGGCTCGGTGGCGTCGACGTCGCGCTGTCCCCTTTGCCGCGATGGCAGCAAAAGAAGCAGCAGCAATAGACGCAGCAGAGAAGAACGAGTACGACGAGCACCAAGAGAACCACCCATACTGTCGGTAGTCCGTCGTCCAGTATGTTGCGATGTCCAGAAGGCGCTGATGTCGCGGGCGTGACTCCAGGAGCATCTACTTGTAATCAATGTCTTGCAGGCAAGCATGAATGGTTGATGTACCTCGAACGCACACGGGGTATTGACCTACGAGCGTCTTGGCGACGGCACTGGCCTCGCACGACGAGCTGTTGGTGATGCCGAGGCTCCCAAAATGGACGCCCGTGTTGGCACTGGCGTTGTATGGCCCGAGGTGTTGCAGCACAGCGTACGAGTCTGCACTGATCGTGACCCGCATCGACGCAACGCACTGCGGACACTGCCTAAATGCAGAATCATGAGCCCTTGCATCTGTGATACTCATACAGGAGTGTAAGACCCTTGCCAAATGTCGTGTTGGTGATAGACGAGATTGCGTTTCCAGACAAGTAGCTAAGGTACACTCTGTAAGTGCACCTTGCAGCCGCGATAATACTTGTCTACATGCGGGTTGCAGACTCAAAATTCACGTTGGCAATCGACCGAATGTCATTGCGCTCGGCCGAGCTATGCAGCCGAAATATGACCATAAGACACATGTGTATAGCACGTGCAAATGTACAAGATGCTGGTGACGCTCGGAAGTGACGCGTCCAGTGTCGTGAGACGGTTGTCATCGAGCCAGAGCTCCGCGAGAACATTGGGTAAACCTTTGGGGATGCGTTCGAGGCTGACATCATTCAGGTACCTATCCACGCACCCTTGAGAGGATGTCCGTAGGACAGCTATATGTAGGGCGTACATCGCGTTGAGGCTCGGCCAGCTGACGCCGTCGAGCTGGCTCGCGTTGCGAAAAAGCGAGTGCTCGATGCCGCTGTCACCATGACATGTCAGTTTTGAAACCGTCACCAGTCCACATGGAAACATACAATTCGGCCAGCATGGGCGGGAGCTGAAAGTTGGCTTCAAACTGGAGGTGCGTCGTCGAGTTTTGGATGATCCTACACCATTGATTAGACCAGGCGAAATTGTAGCGAGACGTACAGCTTTTGTAGAGGAAACCGGCGCAAGTCACCGACGCCCGCAATGTCGGCAAACTTGTAATGGCTGCCACTGCTCGTCCACGTCACTTGGCACAGGTTGTCGACTTGACATACGATGGCGCTCGGCGGACACAGCGACCCGGCCGTCAATACGTTGTACGGCGACAAGAGGTACGGACACGAGAAATCAGTGGCGGCGGCCGAAGCAAGCATCAAGGCGGCGCGCTGCATTTGCTCGCGACTGCGCGGATTTGAAAATAAGATGGCCTGTCGGAAAGCAGCATCGTGTCCAGCTCGAGGTCGTCCCACTGTCAACCCTTCCACCGCGGGATCCTTGGAGTCAAAATGTACGTCGGTTGAGAATCTGCTGATTACGACATACGTTACACTTATGAAGGGCGTAAACGGAGGCTGCCTCGCGTGCTGGTGCCATAGCTACACACTGCTGGACCAAGACTCAGTGAACGCCAACACGAGCCTCGCTCGCCTTCCAGCACCTGCATTCTCATATTCCGTCCCTTGGGGCTTACGATCTTGACACTGAAAGGAAGGATGTGTGTCACAAAAGAGTGCGCGTCCTCGCAGAGTGCTGGTGCCGTACCAGGCGTGCGACTCCGTCGTCGTGGACGAATCGCGTGTGACTCGTAAAGATTTTTCGAGCGCCATTTTGAATCTGATTGCTTCAAGAGAGTATGCTGCGACTGCTGCTGGTGCACTTGCCTCTCGCCCTAGCGGTCGCGACGACCTGTCCGTATGCCAACTCAACCGGCGATACCTTGACATCGGGCAAGTACTGCACGCCCGGCGTCTCGGTTTGCCGCGTCAATGCGCTCTGCAGCGAAGTGTGGCGGTCGGTGAGTCCCGTCACGACCAAGATCACGCGCCTCGCGAGCATCGGCAACCTCTCGTCGTACGAGGCGACGAAACTGTACGTCCTTGCGTTGCTCTCGACCACTGACGCCTGGCGTAGGCTCGTGCAAAACTGTTCAAGTGGGTTTCGTCTTGATCCAACCGCGTTTGCGCTGCCGCCGAGTCTGACAGTCTTGTACGCGATCGCGGATGTGTGTGTGTCATCAGGACGCGTCGACTGGATAGCGGTCTCGAGAACTGTCCCATGCAAGGTCCGATGCCTTCGGTGAGCTGGCCGCTAAGCCTCACCGAGCTGTACGACCTGAAATTTTTGTGGTCGCATCTTTATGACGTGCATCGTCGTCAGCAACGGCAGCTTGGTCACGATTCCGAGAGGGCTCCCGCTCTCTCTGGAGGAATTGTACGCACCACTTTCCCTCGAGGCGATGATTCTTAGCGGCTGCTCTAGTTGGATTGACCAATCAGATCGCCGACTTGATCGACGCGCCCCTCGCCACCAAGATTTTGTACTGAGATACTGCGATTCGATCGTCGTCACTACAATAATGAATAGGTCTGTCGAGCGCAACCAGCTCCGCGTGCTCAAGGACGTGGATCTCACACGGACACAAAAAGCGTGCGACCGATGCGTCTACAGTGCGTAGTACACGATACATGTGTACATCATAGGTACTTTGGCGGAAACCCACTCACCGTGCTAAGCCGCGTTCACTTCTCCAAGAGCCTTCAACTCTTGTACGTTGTGAGCTCAACTGGGTTCACTTTTGACGGCCGCGGTGTAGCAAGTGCAACGGCTGCAACTTTGTGCTTTTTGTTGTCGACACCAAGTCGTTCGAGGCTCTGGACGCGTTGCCCGCATTTGATCCGGCAACGCAGCTCGGTCTCCTCGTCGAGAGCATCAATTCTGACGCAGCCTACTGCGTCAACACTATCAAGGGCACGATCCGCATGCTGCACGCCAAGTACCCTGTCTGCGTGTCGGGTGCGTACATCACAACTGATCGGGGTGGAGAGCCGAAATGCTATTAGATGACGCCGGATCGGTCAAAGGACTGCCCACCAGTGTGACCACTCTCTCGACGCCTCACTGGGGTAAACTTGGAAATACTTTTGCGGCGAGGTGAAAGGTTTATCGTCGACTATGGATAGGGTTGTTTCTGGGTTCCGCCGTCTGGGGGCTAGCCCGCAGCAAAATGAGCGCAATGACGGCGAGGTAACCCATCCAACGTACATGCGTATAGCCCGAAACGAGTGGCTGCTCTAGCTATTACAAAATCTCAAACACCGAGGGCGTAAACTTGGGCCGTTTGTCGTTGCGCACATGGGGCCGAGGGAGCTTCTGAAAGAGCTGCATGGCCGGGTCCATCGGGTCGCCGCGTGTGTCTTCCCAGAGCGACTGGTAGATGTACGTGTGAAGGTCGCTGTAGCGCCGCTGGAACGCGTCAGGGTCTTCCCTGCACGTCATGATGCTTCATTTGGCCATCCGGGCTCGCAAAACGTACCTTGCGGCTTGGTAGGTCGCGAAGAAGCCCAAGAGCTCGTCCATGGCTTCTTGGCGCTTGGTGGCGTCGGGCATGAGTGGCAGCATGCCTGGTACACCGAGGCGGACCGGCGCCTGCGCGTCGTCCGACACGTTGTGGTTGTGCACGTTCAACTAGTCAAAGCATAAGGCGCCACATGCCCACATCCTTCCTACGTGCGAGGTAATGAGGACGCGCCACTCGTCGTGCGTGGCTTCGTTCCGGTGCACTTGGACGTGCATCTTGACGGGGCAGGCCGAGTAGAACGCTCGCAGCTTGGGCTTGGCGGCGTCCACATTGCACGTCTCCTTGATCAGATTCTTGTTCTTGGACATGTTCGAGTGCGAATGCTTGCAGTCGTAGCTACATGGTCGACCCCGCATCAAGCCGAGGTCGTTGCAGCATACGGCGGCTTACCGGACGCGTGCGTGCTTGAACTCGGGTGGCACAGGCGTGAAGTTCTTGACGCGACGCTTGGTCTGCTCGCTGTTGTAGCGCGCCGTGAGCTTCGTATCGCGCGAGGTGTAGGTTTGGTGCGTCTCGCGGGCGTAAGCGTCGAGGTACGCGTGGAACTCGTCCCAGCTCCGGAAGGACAGCCCTTCCAGCGACCGGACGGCGCACTCGACACCTGTGGACGAGAAGGTCGCCTCGAGCACCTCGCGCGCCTGCGCGTACTTGGACTTGCGCTTCTCGAGCCGCCACGACGGTATGCTCGTCTCGGGCAGCGGCTCCATCCGGCCTCCAAGCGCTGCGGCTGCTGCCAATGCGCCAGGAGGTGTTTGATACACCGCTATCGAAACAGCGTTTCTGTTTTATACAGGTGGCGTTCCACACGCGACCTCTGCGCGCGCAGCGGACTTGGCCAAAGGAAAGCTCAGTGTACATAGAGGAGGGATCGTGCAGTAGCAAATGCTACGGCGAGGGCAGTGCATAAGCGATGTGGTTGCCTTCGCTTCGGTGGTTGAAAGCACCCTCGTGGGTAGTGTTTAAAACACAGGACGGGACCCGTTGAGCGTACGTACAAACGTACATTGTAACGTACGTACATCGTACCGTACATTGCATCAGAAATAGCGCGAAACGATCGCGACTTGTCAGTCAACCGCGAGAGCAGCAGCAGCAGCAGCATGGCGCAGCATGTCTTCCAGAAGAGCAATCCGATCTTAGGCCGCGGCAACTACCACGCCAAGCTCACGCTGGATGGGAAGCAGCAGAAGTTCAAGCTTGTGCGGGGCATGATGATCGACTCGTCGCTGCCGCAGCAGCCGTCCATGCTCGCGACGCGCGCGGACAAGCACGACGAGGGCCGCTTCACGACGACTGCGCGCGACATTGGCCAGCTGTCCGAGCTTGAAGAGAGCAAGTTTGCGCCGGCGAATGCGACCAAAGTACGCTGAAATCCGTGCACGTGCGAGCTCATCGAATCTGCAGGTGCTGCGCTTCTACGCCTTCTTCGAAGAGACGGTCGACGAGAGCCCTTCCGAGCTCTTCCGCCTTCGCCGCACGATGCTGCTCTTCTACTTGCGGGTAGAATACTACAGCGGCTCTCGGGAGAAAGCGAGCGTGATGCGGCATATAGGACGACACGATCGAGATCATCGAGAACCGCGTCGCCAACTCGGGCTTGCCCCAAGGCACGTACCTCAAGCGCGGGAAGCTCATGAAGCCCAACAACGCGGGTCATTACCGCTTTGACGATGTTTTTATTGGCATGAACTTTCCCATCTTCGGCCGCATTTTCAAGCTCTACAGCTGCGACGCGTTCACGCGGCAGTACTACGCCGAGAACGCGTTCGAGCTCGCGCCCAACATCGAGATTCCGAAAGACGAATATACAATGACGCGGGACGAGATCTCCAAGCTCTGCGGCGGCGAGCCCGGGCACTTTTACGGCAAGAAGAACAGTGCGCTCAAAACGTTCATGGAGGCGACGCTGGGCAACCACGGTCTCAACAGCGCCAAGAAAGCCAAGTTCCTCGCCAACGCGCGCAAAGTGCTGCACTTTGAGTGCGAGTACGACGACCGGCAGAAGCTCTACGGCGACCTCACGCCGTACAGCCTCAACTACTTCCTCGAGGACGATACGATCGAGATCAAGGAGATCGAGCGGCCCAACTCGGGCCGGGATCCGTTCCCGCTGCTACTGTCTCGCTCGCGCCTCCTCAAAGCGTGGGAGCATGCGATTCACGACGAGCAAGATCGCGGCGTGGAAGAGCCGACGGGCCGCGACGCCTACTACAACGAAGACGACCTCTTCGTCGGCGCCGTGCTCAACGTCTATAGCCGCCCGCTCAAGCTCGTCGACGCGGACGAGTACACGCGCGCATACTACAAGGAGGCGTGGAACCTCGACCTTGCGTCGCCCCAGTACACGCCCCCGACGCCCAAGGAGAACAAGAAGCCTGCGCCGCCTCCGTACACGGGCTACGGCACCGAAGAAGGTCTGTGTTTTGATATCTTGTGGTCCAGCGTGTTCACGGCGACATGTAGACTCGATGGGCTCTGTGACGCATCTGGTGCCCAAAGTACCGAAGAAGGACTTTATCAAGATGACGATGAACGACCACAAGCTCCTGCGCTTTAGCGCGCGCATGGTCTCGAGTCGGCGCGAGCAAGCGGCGCGGCGGTTCATTGTGACCTTTTACTTGGCCGACGACACCATCTCGATCTACGAGCCGGAGCAGCGCAACTCGGGCATCGTGAGCGGGAAGTTCCTCGAGCGAGGACCGCACAAGAGCCCGTCGGGGGTTCGGTACGGCCTCAACGATTTCTTCATTGGGAACGAGCTCAGCTTCAACGCCTACAAGTTTCTCATCTTTGACGCGGACGACTACACCAAGCACTACCTCGGTCTGCCCAGCGCGTCCTAAACCAGCCTACATCTTCGAATACTATCTCAACTCGACTCTACTTTCGAATACAGTATGTACATTAAGTGACGCCGCCACGCTCCATGGCCTTTGTCGACACGCAGGGTCCGACGCGCGTGCGATGTGCGGTATCTCTCACGAGCTCGCAGAGTGGCCTCTCGCTTCGTTACCCACACAATTGCAATGCGAGCTCGAGGGCGACGTCTTATAGTCCGAAATGTCAGATGCGCGAAATGAAATATACGATTGTAGGGAACTAGTGCACAAGTCGCAGTTAGGGCAAGAGTCTATTAGATTAGCGTTTAGGGCTTGCGACGATGCACTCGTCGGGCAAGACGAGGGAGCTGCCGTTGGGTAAGAAGCGCAGTCGAGTCTAGACTCAAAGCCTTGGTGAATTGCTGCGCTAACACACTGTACCTTTTGGATCGGCCAGCGCGCCTTGTTGAGCAAGAGCGCTTCTTTGCCCCGGACTTCGGTCCACGCGTCGTGGTCGGCTTGGAGCTTCTCGGCGCGGGCGGCGTCGACGTACATGGGCGCGTGCCGAGCGATCGCGACGAGGATGTCCTTGGCCGTCGAAAGCGACTTGAGCTGATGGACGTCGACGGCGAGCACCTCGACCAGCGTGTTGGCGACGATCGAGCTAATGGCATTCGTCGCATCATAGTCTCAATCTCAATTGGATGCACCATTTCGCTTTCTGAGAGGCCTCCAAGTACGCTGTCTCGCCAAAGAGCGCGGGCGGGTACAACTCGTACGTGATTCGGGAGCGCGCCTCCGCTCGCTGCGCGCTTCGCTCGCGACAAGGACCGACGGACGTCGAGCTGGGGCGTGGATTTTGCCGGCGCGAGCCGCGGCGCCGGGCGCGTATACCCCAGCGGCCAGCTCGCGTCTGCTAGCAAGTGGTGGAACGGAGCCACGGGCGGCGTCACTGCCGTCGTCTCTGTTGTGCTCTCGGAGGTCTCGGTGTGTCCGTCCGAGAAGGCTTGTTGGAAGCGGCAGATGCCTTTGTAGAGGAGGTAGAGGTGCTTGGGGATGATGCCTTGGGCGATGATGACGGACCCTTTTGTGAACCGCGCGAGGATCGAGTGCGACACGATGTGGCCGAGCTCCGAGTCGGAGAGGCTGCGGAAGACAGGCGACCGGCGAAAGGTGGCGAAGCGCGCATGCTGCTCGAGGATCCACTGCGGCTCGAGCGTCGCCTTGAACACACTTGGCGTCAAGTAGAGCACCTCGGTGCGCTCGTCGGCGAGGTACATCATGAGGTTCGAGACGCTGTAGCCGACGCAGCCTACGAGACTCTCCGTGTCGACGAGAGCGACCTGGATCGCGTACCAAAGATAGCGCCAGCGTGCAGCCGCAACGTGCTGGCGGTCGCGACGACTTCGTGGGCGCTGAGCTTGAGGTTGGCGTGGACGCTGAGCGTGCCGCTGATGCAGACGTAAAAGGCGGACGGCATGGCGGCAGCGAGCTCGAACGCGTCGCCGCACCGAATCACGGTAAAGTTGCTGGCTTGGCAGACACGACGGACGACGTCGTCGGGCATCCGCACGAAGAAATCGAAGCTGCGGAGGACCGCGGCCATCGTGTCGAGCATGTCGTCTGTGCGCTCGCCAGATTTGGCAAAGAACCCTGCCTTGTCGACTCGCGACTGACAGAAAAGCGCATCGAGCACGCCTCCGCGGAGCCCCAGGGTCTCGAGGAGGCCGTCAAGAGACGCGTCGATCGTATCGTCGCTCTGAGACGCGTCCAGCTGTGCGTACGCGACGCGGGCGTCGTCGAACCGACCGAGGCGCCGAAGAATGAGCGCGTAGTTGCGAAGGTAGGTACGGTGACCATCCCCCGCACTCGCTCTGGCGCGCTCGACGGCCGCCAGCGCGTCCTTGTCGCGGCCAAGCTTGAGCAAGGCGACACTTGCATTGAAGTGGGCCTCGTGGCACTGGGTATCGATGGCAGCGGCGGCAGTAAAGTCGCGCAGCGCAAGCTCGTGGTCCCCGAGCTTGTCGTGCGCAGCCCCTCGCAGCAGGTGTGCCCTAGTACACTCTCTAGCGTGAAAATGTGGCACCGATCGAGCTGTGCACCATTTTGGAAGGTTGAACGGCTCGGTCGCGAGGGCGTTCGAGCACCAATGAATCGTCATATCGAACCGACCTTGCGCGTAGAAGAGGTAGGCCTTGTTGAGCCGGCTATCGGCCGCTGCACCCAGCGGTACGGGATCCAACGCCAAGCAGTGCTCCAGCAGCGGCTCCTGGCAATACACTGGTGAGCCCATAGCAACGGTGGGCGGCTCGCAGTATGTCGTACTTGGCACACGACGGACTTTTCGGGCTGCATCCGTCGGTCGTAGTCGAAGGCCTGCACGACGGCTGCCACTTTGTGCGGATGCGTGTACACGTTCTTGTTGATGTCGTCGCGCGTCGGCTTGGGCACGGGCGTCCGTTGCAGGTCCGTTGGCAGTGGCGACGGCGCCGGCGTCGCCGCGAGTCCCAGCGCCGAGTGCTCGACTTGCAGTGCGGTGGCGACTTGGGCGCGCTTCTGGACGAGCATTTGGCGGTCGTAGATCTTGGTGTCGACGACTTGGAGCATCGGGTCGCTGGGCTGGCAGAGGTTGGCCGACGACGACGACATAGACGCGAGTGCGCTGCCTCGGCGTGCCACGATCGACGAGAGCACAGAGTTCGACGTGCCCGACTTGAGCGCGAGCGACGAGCGACGTCGCGCCTCTTTGGACTCGACCTTCTTGAAGGTGTGGCACTCCTAGAACAGGACAAGTTGTCCATCCTCTTCCTGTTCTCATGGATCGCGACACCTTGTCCACAGCGCCCAACGCCCCGATGAGCTCGAGAAGCCGATCGCGCAGCTCGTGCGATGTCAGCACACTGTCGTCCAAGTGCCCGAACGCGCCGCGCTCAAGGCACGCGCGAAGCATGGCCTAGCGCGCATGAGATACGATCTCAATATGTAACTATCGCACGGGGTTGTCTTCGTCGAGGAAGCGGGAGGTGCCGAGGACGACCGGGATCGCTACGCCCTTGTGCCGGAGGGCGTCGAGCATCGTCATCGCCGAGTCGCGCCCGATGGCCGCACGCACGAAAATCAGGTGCACCGTAAACAACTGGACAACCTGGAGCACGTCCCGGACCGAGCTCGCGAGGAGCACCTTGAAGGCGCCGTCGAGCTGCAGCGCGAGAGCGTCACGGCTAATATGGATGAGAGTCGATTCGAGTCGAGTGGAGGACTACCGGTGCCGGTTGTTGTCGGCGAGGAGGATGCATTTGCGCGATGCGAAAGGCGCAGAGTCGGTCGTCTTCGCCCGCACGTGCTTGGGCGTCGCCTTGTGGCGCACGATTTGCTGCAGAAAGAGGCGCGTCGTCGAGTAGACTGCTTTGTTGAAGACTTCGTCGACGGGGGCGTTGTGGGTTCGAAGCCCGTCCGCCACCGAGACGCCGTCGCCGACCGAGAGCCCGAGCGCCTTGGCCGACGCCAGCACCCGGCACTCCCGGCTTGTCTTGGCCGGCATCCTTTATTTAGACACTCGAGACTATCAAATCGAAGCGACGTTAAATTAGAAAGACGACTACTTGTCCGCGAGAAGCGACTCGAGCGCCTTGGCCGCCGCACTGAGCACTTGACTGTTTTCGCTCGACGACGTGGCCTTCGATTCGTCTGCAGACGCTTCTTCGACGGCGCCGGAAACGGCCTCGGATGCGGCAGCGTCCGGCACCGAGGCAACGTCGACGTCGGCGGGCTCAATGGCAGCGACAGAAGGGATGTCCGAGGTGGCTTCAAGATTGCTTTCGACAAGCGCGCTGTCCGAGACGGGCGCCTCGATCGGGGTAGCCTCTTGCACATCCACAGAGTTTAGGACAACCGGCTCATCGTCGGAGTCGACAACCGGCTCGTCGTTGGTTGTCGCAGAGTTGTCTTCCGTGGGGGCGCCATCGGTTGTTTCTGTGACGTTGAGAGGCGAAGTCACGGCCGACGCGTTGAGAGCGTGCGCCGTGACGCTGGTGTACGCGCTGAACTGCGTGACAATGGCCACAAGTGCCGCATCTTGCGATGCAGCAATTTCGGGCGCATCGTTGGCCGCCACAAGCTTGGCATCTGGTGCATCCTTGGTGGCTTCCAGATCTTCCTCCTTGGCGGCTTCCGGATCTTCCTCCTTGGCGGCTTCTGGATCTTCCTCTTCGGAGGTTTCCGGCTTATCCTTGGAGACTTCGTCCTTGGTGGCTTCCGGCGCTTCCTTGGACGCATCCGGTGCTTCGGGTGAGGCTTCAAGCGCCTTGTCCATGGCTTGGTCGTCGTCGGTGAGCAGAGTCGTGTGGTTGCGTTCGGGTGCGCTGTCGTTGATCTCGGACTTGGAATCAACCGGCGTAGCGATGACATCAACAACTGGAACGACGGAAGTCGACTCGTCGGCTGCATCAACCACGTCTTCGTCCTCGGCGGTGTCAACGATGGCGGTCTCGTTGCTCTGGGATTCAGCCTCGGCGACGGCGACGGACGCATTCGAAGAGTCGATGACCGCGACATGGACATCCACAATCTCGCTCGAGACGTCCGTGACCACCTCAACGACGGCTGCCACCACGTCGACGACTTGAGTGAGCTCCGTGGCGTTTGTCGCGGGCTCGGCGGTCGCAGTGGCATTGACGTCGTCACGCGCAGTTGAGCGCACAACCTCATCGGCTTCAACCGTCTTGGATTCGGGCATATCTTCTTTCGCGCCAAGCTCGGTCGTTTCATCGGCCGGCGTCGCCACGTCGACGACGGCTTGCTTGACCTCGTCTACCGTGTCTTGCTTGACCTCATGGACAACGGGTTGCTTGACCTCTTGGACAGCACCGTCCTTGACCTCGTCGACCGTGTCTTCCTTGACCTCGTCGACCGCGTCTTTCTTGACCTCGTTGACCGTGTCATTCTTGATGTCGACAACCGTGTCTTCCTTGCTGTCCTCATCTTGTTGTTCCTCTTCGACGACAACTTCCTTGGCTTCAACAACAACGTCGTCGGACGCTGTGACAACTTGTTTTTTGACATCGACGACGGGTGCGTCGACTTGGGCCGACGTCGATGCGACGTCGTCGTCGTTGTCGCGTTCACTGTCTTTATGTACGTCACCGAGTGTGTCGTTAACAACGCTCGTGGCTGCACCAAAGCCCGCACCTGTCGGTGCTTCGACCTTGACGTCGTGACCGGTCGAAGCTGTGGCGTTGACCGAAGCAGCAAATTCCGGAACGGGCGCGTCGACGGCGCCATCCGTGTTGACGTGGACCGTGACCACGTCGTCGACGATGGCCAACGTGGTGGTTTCGGGCGCTTTCGTCTCGATTGCCTGGATCGGCTCGATTGCCTGGATCGGCTCGATTTCCTGGATCGGCTCGATTTCCTGGATCGGCGCGATTTCCTGGATCGTCTCGACCAGAACGTGCATCTCGCGCGTCTCTTGGGCGACAAACGAGTAGAGGTCGAGGCCATAGACGTGCTGGGCGGCGCCAACACCGAGCGTGACGAGCCAGATGCCAATCATCGCAAAAAACGCAGTCTTCCACGCCGACGACGCGGCCTTTACAGGCGGAAGCGACCGCGGCTTCTCGACGGGCTTCTCGACGAGTTTCTCGGGCTGCTCGGGCGACGTCGGCTGAGTCGACGGCGCCAGCGCTTGCATCATGTTTTGCTGCAGCGCGGCGAACTCGGACATGGCGGCCTTGACCGAGGTTTCAATCTTTTGAGCGTCGACCGAGTGGCGGCGCTGCGGCGACCCTTTGCTCACCTCGATGCTCTTGAGCTGCTCCATCATGAGAAACTGCGTCTGCTCCGTCTGCTGCATGAACGACTGGAGCGAGCTGCGGAGGTGCGTCATGTCGTTCGAGAGAGGCGCGGCGCTTTTCTGGGACGCGCTGCGGAGCTCCATTTGCAGCTGGTCGCGCTCGGCGAGGATGCGGTTCGTCTCGTTCATCTGCTTCTTGATCATCTCGTTCTTGATCGCGTGCTCGTTTTGGAGCTCCTTGATGACGTCCTCCATCGTGCGAAGCTGCGACTGGACCTTGTGCACGAGCGACGCCATCTCGATCTCTTGCTTGCGCATCTTCATGCGCGAGAGCGAGTCCGAGACCTCGCTGCTCACGGCGCGCAGCTGCGACGCGCTGCCCGCTCGCGAGACGGACGAGAACGCCCGGCCAATGTTCTCGGCCGTCAAGAGCGGCGTGTCCCAGCCAGCATCGAGCGCGCTCTCCGAGTGGCACTCGCCGTGTGTCTCTTCGTCGAGTGCGACCGTGGAGCCGGTCGACGAGCGAGCGGCGCCGCCTCGGTGCGGCGGCCGGCCGCTGTCGGATGCGACCGCCAT